CACGATATGACAGTTGTTGGGTGCGGGAAGAAATAATGTTGGAAAAATTTCGGGCTTAATGAACTGTTAAAAAATAATGTCAGCACTCTTTAAAAATATGGGAGCATAGGATGTAGGACGGTCATAAAATTCCAAATATACGACACACTATTTACATATTATGAAAGTGTCTTTTTCGTCCACGATTGTTTTGGCTCTATAAACAAACTCTCAGTTTATTCAAAGGAAAATTATATTTTTATGGCTTGTAACTTCATTCGTTGAATTTCTTAAATTAACAAACACAAACACAACACTGTTTTCAAGTATTTGCCGCATGCATAAAAATGCTTTTATGTGGTTGGCCATGCTAAGTTGACATATTTTAACCAGCAGTAAAATAACAATGTTGCCAACCCAAAGAATTAGTGTGACCTAGAATAGCGACAAATACGACAACATATAAATTAGATTAACTATTTTTACTTACTTTTTACAGTCGGCGTAACAAAATAGTGATACATGATAATTTTATTGCAATTTTTAAAGAACACTACATTTCATACAATAATTATTGTTAACGTTAACGTTTCTTTAGTATGTGTTTATTTTTAGATGACAAGTAATTCCTATTAATTCTGGTATATCATTTCTTTCATATTCTTAAGTCTTTTTAAATGTGCAATTTGCTGCATTCGTCTCGAGTCGCCAGGTTTGGGTCTTGAGTGCAATACTATACTTTATTTACTCCAATAAGTAAATAATTAATTGATTTAAAAAAAATAATAAACATCTGACATCTGTCAAAGATTTAACCTCACTTTTAACCAATTTTAAATGTTAACATTATAGTTGCCTTCTCCCAATTTAAAACCCGATAGGTTCTAATCACAGTGAATATTGAAATCGGCCAATCACTTATGCCTACAACGTGAATAATGAGTTTATTATTCCCATTGTTAGGCAGGAAGTTTATAATGTTTTTCATTATTTACGGAAACCCCAATACAATACAAAAATAATAATAATAAAATAATATTTGAATCTGCTTACTCTCTAAAAATGAATTAGTCAAAAATTACTAATTTAATAGTTATTAGTGGCTGCTTTTTCACTTGTACCATGGTTAACCATGGTATTCCAACATTTAACAGCTAATTCTTATGTAAAATTGTCCCCTGAATCAAAAATTATGAAAGTGGAGCAGTTTTTTAGATACAGTCAATTCCATATTAAATGGAAAATTGACTATATCTCAAAAACTCTTCTACCTTTTTAACTTTTGACGACATTTTCGGACTCAGGGGACAATTTTACATAAGAATTGGCTGTTAAATGTTGGAATACCATGGTTAACCATGGTACAAGTGAAAAAGCAGCCACTAATAACTATTAAATTAGTAATTTTTGACTAATTCATTTTTATATGTAATATTATAACATTATATCATTACTTAAAAATAGAGAAGTACTTTATTAAAGAAACCCCAACAAGTTTTGGAAAACTTTTATTCGACTAAAAAGTTACTGCTTTTATAAAATCGAAGTGTTTACTTAATAATTCGAAAAACTTCAAAGGAAATTTATGAATATGATTTAAAGTTGCCATAGTTGTTGATAAAATATTTTTTCTATAAACTTGCGGAAAGTTGCCACTATTTTTTCTAGAAATGAAAACTTGCGAGGTTCCCTTGCTTGTAGAAAAAATATTGTACCGAAGACACGCGGAAAGTGTCTTTTCCGCACTAGTTAGGTAAATAACTATTATCTTCTCTTACATTGACAAGCTGTGACTTTATGGCGTTTTAGTTACGGGATAAAATTAGATTGGTTAAATTAAATGGCGGTTAAATTCGTCAGATGTCAAATATTTAACAATTTAATTTTTTTTTCAAATTCTTCTTTGTGTTCGTCGTAAATTAAGTACGGTATCCAACTCCTTTTATAAACTTCTCTATACCCTCGTTTTTATTAATCACGCGCTCGCAAGCTTCGCTCGTGCCTAATAAAACTCGTAATTAAAATGGCGTTTATAAAACTTAATATATAATATGCTAATATTTTTAGGTGCACTGAAAGAAATATATGTTTGTTTTAGCAAATGTATGTGGTTCATATATGGACTACCACATACATTGCTAAAACAAACATATATTATATTTAGTTTTAACATAATATGTTAAAACTAAATATAAAAATGGTTAAGGTAAATATATTTTATGTTTCATATATAGACTACCACATACATTGCTAAAACAAACATATATTTCTTTCAGTGTGGTCTATAAATTATACTTTATTGTCGTCAACACAAGTGTTGACACTTAATAAAGCTGTATTTAGTTTTTAGCGTTGGTGATTGGCCGATTTTATTATGCACTGTGATTTGGATCAATCATAAAATTCGTCTTCTATCAGTTTTAACCTCACTTTCTATTTTAAATAAGTGTACGTTCATGTATAATTTAACAAATAAAAATCTGAAAAACATTCAAACTTGAAAATAAAATGTATGTCATTCGGCTTTTTATGCACAAAATGGCTAACTTCTTGGTCTTATAACATTAATAACTAGAACTTATGGTTTAATACTTTTTTAACATGAGCTTTTGCGGTTTACTTTTGTTTAGAAATTTTACGTAAATTATTTGAGTTCTTTAAATATTGATATTTTGTGGTTACCTGTTAAGAAACCATTAAAATTTAAAATTAAATAGGTCAAATTTTTTTTAAACAAATTTAATAAAATTAAATTACGGTATTTGTTGGCAATATTTTATAATAAATATATACTGATTCCCTAAGGCAAGGTTTAAACTAAGCTTTTCTTAGAGATAAATTTCAATTAGGTACAAGAGAATGGAAAAAATAAAAAGTAAAGTAAACTAACTGTGTTCAAATTGTTTAGTAAATTGTTTCTTGTGGATTTAACATTGTTCAGAATGATGTTTTCATTAAAATTTTATAAAATACCTTTGGCTTTACACCTTTTATATAAAACATTTACAATATGTAGCTTTTACATGATTTTAACAAAATATGTTAACAGTACTTTTTTAATAAAAGGGAGATGAAAAACAACAGTTGTTTTAAATATTAAATGTTGGAACACAAAATAGAATAAATATGCGAAATTCAATTTTTTTAACCTTTTTTCTTTGTTTTTTATTTTAGTTTTTCATTATACATTTATTTTGGGTTTTCATAATAGTTTTAAATTAAATTTTATTATTTGTTTTGGTTTTATTTTATTTTTAAAATAAAATAATTTTAATTTATTTATTTTGTAAGTAAAAGGAAACCATATTTTGTTCTGTATTTTTATATACATTTTTAAATATTTTTTATTCTATTTATTATATTTTATTATATTGAAAACACATGTACTTACGTCTTGAGATAAATTCTTTAAATAACAAAAAATAATTATTATTTTGTGTTATTTAAAGAATTTATCTTAAGACGTACAATGTATATTTAGAACATAATATTATTGTCATCCTTATCACGTAACTAGTTAATGAATTAGTCAAAAATGACTAGTTATATTTTTTGTAAATATAAAAAATATTTAAAAATATTAAATATAAAAACACAGTAAAGAATAGGTAAAAAAAATATGAGAAATTAAATTATCTAAAAAAATATTTTTATGTAGGTACGTATGTATGTATCGTATAAGGTTTTTATAATACATTGTTTCATACTTTTGAAATAAGTTGTATTATTTGTTTTAGTTTTATTTCAGTTTAATTAAAAGGATAAAATATTAAGGAAAACAAAAAATTAATTATTTAAAAGTATTTTGGGTTATATGAAAAATTAAATTTTAGACACATACAGAAGATAAAAATTACATTTTAAATTTATTTTAAGAAAATATATATTGTTTTTTTATAAAATTGTAGAAGTACAGGGTGATCCCCTATAATGTCGCCCCCCTTTAACTTTTTTATTTTAAAAGTCCCAAAAAATTTAAAAGTGTGGTTATGTTGGTACTAAAAAATACTTTTTTTCTACATATAAATAAAATTGGAAAATTGATCAGTATACAGGGAAAAACAAAAAGTTTATTTTTTTTCAATGGATCACCCTATATATGTATTTATTTTTCGATTCCTTGTAAAATTCTAAGCATATTTCATATAACATACTATATACCTAAATACAAAAGTTTCTGAAATATTTAAATAATTTTTAAGATAATAAGTTGAAATAGTTTGTCTTTTTCTGTCTGAGTACGCCATTTTTACTTATTTAACAAGACATATTGACATAATGTCACTATAGTAATTTATTTTCAATAAAAATTTTGGTATACTGAGGCTTCTTGATTTTTAAAAGTTTAAAAAAACATTTAATGATAATGTTTCGAATGCGAATATTTCAGAAACAGTTGAATTTAGGTATATGGTTATTATATGAATTATGCTCAGAATTTTACAAGGAATCGAAAAATAAATTCATATATAGGGTGATCCTTTGAAAAAAAATAAACTTTTTGTTTTTCCCTGTATATTGATCAATTTTCCAATTTTCTTTATACGTAGAAAAAAAGTATTTTGTAGTGCATACATAACCACACTTTTAAATTTTTTGGGACACTTAAAATAAAAAAGTTAAAGGGGGGCGACATTATAGGGGATCACCCTGTACCTACCCTTAAGGTTAAAAATGCATGAAAAAATAAATTAAAATATTAAAATATGTATTTTCATAATATTACATTATATATATATTAATTTAAAATATTGACTGGTAAAAACTACATAAAATAAAGAACTTAATAAAATAATTATTAAAACCAATAGGATAACAACCAAAATTTTTTAAATAAAGAGTTTAAGGAAACCTAAGTATAAATATAAATATTTCTTTTTCAATAAAAAAATGTCTTTAATCTGTATTTATGTTTAAAAATCATATTATATTATTTATTTGATTATTTTTTTTTTAATTACATGTATGTAACATTTTTTAATTATTTTTTTACACTTTTGTTTTAAATATTATTTACATACCTTGTGCAGCATAAAAAACAGCAAAAAGTACCCAAACAGAAAAAGCACTCATTTTGTTGCTAATTATTTGTTGAAACAGTTCACTAAACACGTCCGAAAACTGTACGTTAAAACCTTTTAAAGTCACTTAACGAATGCACCATAAATAACGCAAAAAAACTTCACTTGATCAAAGCGCGCAAACTTTTGAATCACACGTGAGAGCGCTGAAACCTGACAGAGAGCTTCTGAAAGTTTTCAGCCGATGGTCGCAGAAATACTACGGTAGACTCGCTAGCGCGCTTCTTTCAGCCAAAATCAACAGTTGAGAGCCGAGTAGTCGACTTGCGCACAACGGCAACGTGTTGATGCCAGTGCATCCGATGTTCGCGCGAACATTTTGTTTATAGGGGTAATTATTGGGGACGAATCGGGGTAGCTAAGATGTATCAGATATGATTGATCGTGTATACGCTAATTTGATAAAAATCTGACTGCGGACAACTATTTGCTTCACACCGGTGCTGTGAAGGGATAATTATACCGCTTTACCATTGTAAACATCATAAATTAAGTTTTGATGTTGGAATAAATATTTCCGTTTTATGACCACCAATATTCTTGATTAATTTTAGTACCTACATCGTTTAATTGCTATTTCATGATTTAACGTATTTGGACAATTTTGAACAATATACATAAAATTAATTAATTCTGTAAAAAATATGTTTGTATGATTTTGTATTGTCCTATTAAATTTATGATTTAGCGAGAGTAACAAGAAATTCAGGATGATGCTAACTATAGGAGGAATGTCAGAAGAACTAGATAAATCATTTCTTTGCATTTATATATAAATTTTCCACATCCCTATGTGGGAAAATGTATGCTTTGTTTTAGGCTTAGAATTCGATTTTACATATATCATTTCATCTTGGTCCCCTGAATATATACATATATAGGTATTGTAAAATATTTTGCTTTTTGTTGTACATTGCACATTTTATTTAGTCTGAGTAACTTTTAAGCGAGACTGTTATATAATCGGGGCTTACACTGTTTAAAATATCTGTGGTGTAAAAAGTAATCTTAAAATGGTGTCAAAATTCAACACCAAGTGGTGTTAATATAACACCATGAATTATGGTTGAAAATGTGTGCCGATCGCGGCAAAGGCGGTGTGGATCACGTGATGTTCTTAAATCTCGCCTCTGTTGGCTTACATGAAGAATATATAAACTCAGGTACTTTGCTTTGGTGTGACACTACAAGTTGTTCGATACTAAAGAGACCTTAAATAGGTGGAAACAGCTGTCAATACTTGAAGTATTTTAAGTTAGTGGAACGCACTAAAAACAGTATCTCTACACCGAGAAAAATCTGAGATTTATAATTAACCAACGACTGTTTTCACGAATAATATTAATAAATAAATCAACTTGGGTATTATTAACAATAGCGTGTTTGTATAAAGTAAATTAGAATTTACAGATTAACAATAAATATATGGATAGGATTAATGCTAACACAGCGTTTCTTATAAAAACGAATATTTATATATTAATAGTTAATCAACATTGCGTTACTGTCAACCTGTAATTGTTTAAAATATCGGAAGTATATAATGCATTTAATTTAAACCATTTTTATTAATAATAAATAAATTTGTTCTCCCCCCAGGCCACTCGCGCAGCGGAAGCTTTGTTTTGTCGGCCATTGATAAAAAAGGTGCATCTTGTTCTGTGATTTTGTTCTGTGGAAGGTGTGTGGGTGTAATAAAAGCGTGTAATTGCATCAGATGTAGTTTACTTGTTGGGAATCGTATTAAGTAGCTCTCATAAATGGTATACCCTCAACAGGTGCAATGCACTAAGAAATAATGGAAGAATTAACGAACTTTTTAAGTGACATAGGTTTGCCCTCCCTATTCCCGGTTTTTGTTGGTAAGTAAAGTTATAGCTACTTTATCACAGTGGCGGCTGGTGGATTTTATGTATATATACATAAAATTGGTATATCAATATCTCAGTTATTAGACATGGGACCCACACCAAATTTATAATAGTTTATAATGACATTAAATAGACAAGTTCGGCGCAAACAGAATTTAAATTGAAGTTTGCGAAAAAAAATTAGTTTTTCCTGTCGCCTCACCCGCCTCCAGGCCCCCTATTTAAAAAAAAATTATAAAATATAAAATTTTAAGTTTGTCGATAAATTATAGTAGATAATAAATTACACCACTTTAATTTGAATTATCTTAAATAGGGGGGCCTGGAGGCGGGTGATTGGTATACCCAAAATCCACCAGCCGCCACTGCTTTATCATTTCATTATGATGGCTTGGCCTAATTTCCTCGATGTTTTGTGCCTAAAGTAATCAAATAAATCCAAATCTTGTTTTCATTGCCTGTCTTTAGCTATTGCTTGTAATTATTTTTAACGTACGTATATTTATTATTAACACACTGTTTTAAATAGTAATAAAAATGCATACCCACGCTATAGCTATAGTTAATGTTTAACTTCTTCCTTTTTTATCATATAGAGAACTGCATTAAGGAATTAAGTAGGTAGTCTGCAACAATTGGTACTTCACGAGGAGGAAAGTTTCAAGGTGTTATGTCCAATTATTGGACATAGATTAAAAATTAAATTAAATATTTATTTTTTTATATTTTTATAAATATATGTATTTTATTATACTTACCTGCTTTTATTTTCCATTTACGTGGGGAGGGGGGGTTCTTTAATACCTATACTAATAAATAATATATAGATTGAGTAAATGCAAATAAAGAAATTTGTTATTTAAAAAGTAATCCTACGTTTAATAATAACATAGTTGGTTCACTACAAAAATAACATTGGTTAAATATAAATACATAGGGTTATTCCTAAACCATAATCTATTTATAACTTTTTAACAAATGATAGAGTGATATAAAACCAATATTTGTTACGTCGGTTTATCAATCATTTTTTTATTACTAAATAACCATTTTGGTTATTATTAAACCAACCTTTCTCTCGGTGTAGCGAGTCCCATTTTCTGGAATAATACCACTGGTAATATACTAGTAATGCGTCAAGGAACTTCCCGTTTCCTGTTTTTTCCTTTTTTCTGTGTAGTATGATTTAATTTGACCACAAACACATAATATTTAACACTGAAAAGGAGTTCAATTTACACCAGGTAAAATTTATTTTAATATTGTGTGAAAGTTAAATTAACACCATTTTAGTATTTGAATTTACACCGGACAACGAACCTTATTTAACACCATTTTGGTTTGTATCGATATAGACCACGTATGGTGTTAACTTGGTGTTAAAATGGTCATGAAATTTTGAACAGTTTATAACTAGGACTTTGGTTACCCGGTTTTTAAATAATTAATTAACCGCGGTTTTGACCAACCCGTAAAAGTGGTTAAACGTTTAGTTGATTAATTACATGTATGTAACATTTCGTTACATATTTTTCAAACACAACATATAATGGTAAACGTAATAAGGTAAAACGTTAAATTTAAGTAAAAGTTAATCTTGTTTTCGAGGCACTATTATTTTTTATTTCTGATTATTTTCAAAATATACAATAAATGTAAATTATACACTACTTAGGCTAAAAAAGTAAAAACCTTGTGCGGTTGTGAGGTAAAAAATTAGTTTTATTTTATGTTTATTTAGTATTTTTTTAAATATATTTTCTGCATTTAAATCTCCCAATGTCTACCGGATCTGCCCTTTTTTCTACCATTTTGTGGTTTTCAATTCCAAACTTGTTTTGGTAATCTTACATCTGCAAGTCGTCTCATTACAATTGCTTTTTTTCAATACTATTTAAAATTGTATATTCAGTTTCCATTCTATCCCTTATATCTTTATTTCTAACCCTGTCACAATCCTGGTTAACCGGTTTTTGTTGATTATTCGTTTAATTGATTTAAACCTTGATTTTAAATTTTTATAACTCAAAAATCATACCTTTTGTAGTATCTGTGAATTTTTTTTTGCAAACTAAGGATTTTCAGTAACATCGATTAAAGTCATCTATCACTTTAATCGTTGTTCTAAGAATGCTAGATGTTTGGACCAATGCATATAAGGAAGGCATTACGTGTGAAATTTATAAGTAAGTTTTTCTCTGTGGTCTAATTTGATATTTTTACCTTAGAAACCCAATACAAAACTAAGAAATGGAACCTAAAAATATTACAAATTACCATCAAGTATAAAACCATCAGGAGTATTTTAGTTTTTATACAGTGATTGTAACTGAGCGCGTAAAAATTACCTCTGGTTTTAGAAATTCAAAATTTTAGTCCGTTAAACAAGACATTAAATACCAACTTTGACGTAACATTTTTTTAAAATAATTATCAAAATGACCTTTTACTGTTAAAAGGTCACATTTTTATTAATGGAAAGGGGGCTCGTGTTACACATGATTATAAAGGCTTCATAAACACCTACCAATTTTTGGACTCTTTATAGTATATAGTATATAGTATATAGTATATAGTATATAGTATATAGTATATAGTATATAGTATATAGTATATAGTATATAGTATATAGTATATAGTATATAGTATATAGTATATAGTATATAGTATATAGTATATAGTATATAGTATATAGTATATAGTATATAGTATATAGTATATAGTATATAGTATATAGTATATAGTATATAGTATATAGTATATAGTATATAGTAAATAGTATATGTTCAAAATCAGAACAAAAAAAATAGTATTTTAAACCTAACTTCAGGTAACAATTTTGACATTTAAAAGGCCTTTTAAAGCTGATTATAATATAATCATATATACATATTATGTATATTAAACATGGTGAACCCAAATTATCAATTTTTTTTCTCTACAAAAATAGTTTTTAATGATAGGACATACATAACTATATTTTCAAACCATGTAAAGAATCTGAAAAATTAGTACTTGGTTATGATCAGCTTGTGAAGTCCTTTTCAGTAATGTGTCACATGACCTACCTTTACATTGGAAAAAATGTGACCTTTTTTCTTGGTTATAAACCTAATACAGACTCAAATTTCTAAATCCAGCGCTTTTTTCTTATTAAAAATTTCTTTTAAATTAGATCCTTTTGTATAATCTAAAAATTGGATAGTAGGTGACACCATGTTAGCCTTTTCTTCCAACTCTCAGGAAAAATTTTACTTGTAAACATAATCAGCAAATTTCAAAATAGTAGATTATGTCATAAGGAGTAGAAGCGACTATTT